TATGATATGCACTTGGTCTTATCCGAATGAGTGCTCTTGCATGCAAAATAGCATGTCATCATACGGAGGTTGGAAGTTTTGATCTCATGATCAATGGCCTTGCAATCAATTGCAGCCTTTTGATTAATGAGCCAAACCATTTTGTGTATGAACATGAGCAACATAATGATCCCCAATACCATGCAATAATCATTAAATACTTGGATGTGAATTCACCATCTTTATCTAATCTAACTCTCTTAGTTGGATTACTAGGGTCAAAATCGGTCACGACGGAGTTAATGTCCGAAAGTTCCCGGAAAACCAACTTTCGGTTAATCTTGTCGGGTTTAAAAATTGTTATCTCGAAATTAACGGCTAGGATTACCATATTACGTATTCTTTGTGGAAAACTTCTCAAACAAGAATTCCCGAAAGGATCAATACGAAAAGAGATGGGTCGAAACTCGAGAACCGAATCGTCCCGGCCAAGATCACCCTGCACATAGGCGAGATGGACCGAGGCCGATGTCACCTCACCCATGGGCGAGGTGAAACGGCACCAAGGTCACCTCGCCCATGGGCGAGGTGAACCGGCATCGATGTCACCTCGCCCATAGGCGAGGTGAACCATCACCATGGTCACCTCGCCCATAGGCGAGGTGAAACGACACCAAGGTCACCTCGCCCATGGGCGAGGTGAACCAGTACCAATGTCACCTCGCCCATGGGCGAGGTGAACCGAGGCAAAGTTCATCTCGCCCATGGGCGAGGTGAATCAGTACCAATGTCACCTCGCCCATGGGCGAGGTGAACCGAGGCAAAGTTCATCTCGCCCACGGGCGAGGATAGCCTGATCCCGATCCTATTAACCATATCTCCTCGTCTTAAATTCCCGTAACACGATCCTAGGGTCCTTGGACTTGACACCTCCGTCTCGGATTATCGAAGAAAGACTTCGGAAAGATCATAAAGACTTGGTTGTAGAGATGATCCCTTCCAAATCGTATAAAACGGCTACGGTTAACTTAAACAACAACTGCCTTAACTATACGAGGAATTGGGATCCTCTCGGAAAGATCAATGCCACGTCTAAGGTTACTTCCCTGAAAAATTGTAAAAATATCTAGAGTCCCAGAACGGCTCAAGGATGCCTTGATCACAGGCCAACGTCCCACTTACGGCTTAGGCAAACAAAAGAAATGAAGAGAAACTTCTACTGCCTTCTCAACGGGTAATGAAAAAGGATTGAGCCCCAAGGCTGGTATGACGGTCTATTTTATTTGCAGGAAAAGATAAATGTCAAGTTTCCAAAAAATAAACATGAAGTTTCAGAAGATAAATGTAAAGTTTCCGAAGATAATCATGAAGGATGACGGAAATGGAAAAGCCCGATACGGCCCAAAGGAGGAGTAAAACGCCCTATGAGGAGTATATAAGGGGAGCTTGGGGCGAGGAGCATAGAGAGCTTCTTCAGAGCAACTTAGCACTTAGAGAAATTTAGGCATCTTTTTCGTTTTTACTATCGAGCTGCGAGTCAACTAGGTTAGATTTAGGTTGCTAGACTAGCGAACGTACCGACAGCTCTTGTAGCCGAGGTCCTTACCTGTTGTCCACGCTCAAACGCGAATTCAGAAATAAGATCCTCTTATTCTCTTTTCCGCTCTTTTACGCTCTTTTACGTTTTTCTCTCTTTTAACTCCTTCATATTGATTGTTTCGTGTGTGGCCCCACAGATAACGGGGACCTTCAGGGAAGGCTAGGTTAGCTTAGCTTTCCTCTGATTAACAAATCTCGACGGTGTGAATTTCGGTTCCCATAATTTGGCTTTAAAAGGAGGGGGGTACAGATCTATCTCTCTCGCAACCACACACGCTCAATCAGCTATGACAATCGACACTAACCAAGACCAACCAACGCATGATGGTTACTACGAACACCGCGATACTCATGATTATCCTCGGAAACTTTACATTTATCTTTGTAAACTTCATGTTTATCTTTTGGAAACTTGACATTTATCTTTTCCTGCAAATAAAATAGACCGTCATACCAGCCTTGGGGCTCAATCCTTTTAAAATCATAAGTGGGCCGTTGGCCCGTGGTCCATGCCTCCTTGAGCCGTTCTGGGACTCTAGACGTTTTTACGATTTTTCAGGGAAGTAACCTTAGACGTGGCATTGATCTTTCTGAGAGGATCCCAATTCCTCGTATAGTTAAGGCAGTTGGTGTTTAAGTTAACCGTAGCCGTTTTATACGATTTGGAAGGGATCATTCTACAAACAAGTCTTTATGATCTTTCCGAAGTCTTTCTTCGATAATCCGAGATGGAGGTGTCGTGTCCAAGGACCATGGGATCGTGTTACGGGAACTTAAGACGAGGGCACATGGTTAATAGGATCAGATCAGGCTATCCTCGCCCGTGGGCGAGATGAATTTTGCCTCGGTTCACCTAGCCCATGGGCGAGGTGACATTAGTACTGATTCACCTCGCCCATGGGCGAGGTGACACCGGTGCTGGTTCACCTCGCCCATGGGTGAAGTGACATCAGTACTGGTTCACCTCGCCCATGGGCGAGGTGACCTTGGTGTCGTTTCACCTCGCCCATGGCCAGGTGACCTTGGTGCCGTTTCACCTCGCTCATGGGCAAGGTGACCTTGGTGATGGTTCACCTCGCCCATGAGCGAGGTGACATCGGCCTCGGTCCATCTCGCCTATGTGCGGGGTGATCTTGGCAGGGATGGTTCGGTTCTCGAGTTTTGACCCATCTCTTTTCGTATTGATCCTTTCGGGAACACTAACCAAGACCAACCAACGCATGATGGTTTCCATTCTCAGTTGCAGACTGAGTGTCATAACCTTGAAGGTATATATCCTTAAAACTCAAGAAATTCCTCTTATAATTCGGAGAATATAATGCCTTATGGAAAACTTTGTTCCATTAGGCAACATAAAGTTTGCTTTGCCAATTCCTTCGATTACGTCTGTTGGACCTGATATTGTATTGATGGTTAATTTTGTAGACTTGAAGTTTGAGAAATATCTCTTATCTTTCAGTATAGTGTGTGTTGTACTACTCTCTCGGATGCAAATTTCTTTACCAATTTGCTTGATATTTGTTCCGTTTGCATTTTTATCCATTTCTGAAAAGCATAAACAATATTAATAAAGAAAATAAAAGTTCATAGCAAAATATATAATTATACACTGAATATAAGCACACAATAATCTTCATTACACAATAGTTATACATTAGTTGTTTGCAAAGAAATCTTATTCTGAAAATGGAAATACATAATTAAAATAGTATTTTATGGCATCTTTAGGCATTATTGAACTTGACCACTACAAGTAATTTAATTATCTTGAGGTGTAGCATTTTCGAAATCGCTGATGAAATCAGAGGATTCGAGGTACGTTGAAGTTGTACTCTCAAAGTATTCATTAAGATTCACTTCCTTAGCCATGCCTTTGACAGTCTCTTGGTACAACTTACATAGATGCTGAGGAGTACGACACTCTTGAGACCAATGTCCTTTCGATCCACATCTATAACAGATGTTCTCATTTTTACGAGTAAGATTCTCTTGCGTTTCTTACCCCTTTACCCGATCAGATCGATTCCATGTGTAGGATCCTCTTCCTTTTGGGTTGTAACTCCTTTCATGGCCACGATTAAATTGGCGACCACGGCCACGATAGGAATAATTTCCTTTTTCTGGATTTTTACATCCGTTGCATTTACCTCGGGAAAAGCTTTGGTTCCCGTAGGTCAGGTGTTGTGGTTTTTAATAAAGAGTTCATTATTTTTCTCCGCTATCATGAGCGCCACACCGAGTTCAGTAAACTTTGTATACCCGCGGTTTTGGTATTGTTCTTGTAGAACATAATGATTTTTGTGGAAGGGAGATAGATATTTTTAAGCTTATCTGCATCCGTCACCGGCCTACCGCAATATTCTAATTGTGCCGCTATTCTTAAAATAGCGGAGTTGCATAATTCCACCTTTTCAAAATCTTGAAACTGTAGGTTTGCCCACTCATCGAGTGCATGGGGAAGAGTTATCTTTTTTTGGTAATCAAACCTTTCATTAAGAGCTTTCCAAAGATCTAAAGGATCTTTGGTTCTCGCATAATCATGCGTGAGATTTTCATCTAAATGTCTTCTCAGAAATATTACGGCTTTGGCATTTTCATGAGAGGTGGACTTATTTCCTTCCTTGATTGTATCGAGTAGTTTTTTAGTCCGGATGAAGCTCCATGTTTGTTATCCATGCGGTGTAATTTGCACCGGTAACTTCAAGTGTTGGGCACAGAAGTTTCTCAATTTTTGCCATTTTATTTATCTAAAACACAAAAAAAAAAATTATTGAAATTTCATTATATTTAAAATGAACTGTTTACATTAATCATGCAAGCAGTTACAAGGAAAAACACCGCATAGAAGAAAAAAACAAGATTCATGTTAAATTATGTCGGAATAAATTCTCCAGAAAAAACCGTACGTACAAGCAAAAAAAACGTAAGCATCATCTTTCTTCAAGAAAAAAATGGGGAGAAAATTATTTGAAAGTATTTTAGAGGAGATGAAATGTTTTGATGGTTTGAATGAATGAAGGATGAGTATATTGATAGGTGAAAATTATTGTTCATAGCCGTTGGAAAAAGGGTAAAAATTTTGAAAATTTTCTTTGTGACCGTTGGGGTTAAATCGTTTGAACCGAAAATCAGTCTGAAAATATTCTAATAAGCAGTCAACCAAATTCAGTAAATTTCATAATAATTTTATATATGTGACCAAACATTATATAATAACCATAATATAATTAACATTCAATTATCAATATTATTTATGGTGATAAAATTATTTTCATTAAAATATTAAATAAATTATGCGGCAGCACAGCCAAGCCAATTATTATGGTGTAATTAGCAATCAAAGTTTATTAACAAGACGACATACCGTCCGCATTAATAAATAGTAATATAGGCGGTATCCCGGCCATTATATCAGGTAAATCTGGTACATATAAACTTTATCAAATCACAGAGTGATCGTATTGATAACGTGTTATAAAATAATTTATAAATTTATAGTATCTTGAAATTTAAATAAAGACGAAATTTATACCCGTAAAATGAGATAATACTTATATAAGGTAAACTATTACAGCGAGAAATCTCATACAATGGAGAAGAGAAATAGTAAGATGTGTGTTACAACGTTCATTTATATAAAAGTAAAAGTAGAGGTTACTGTGCACATATAGTGACAATAGGCTCCACATAATTTATATTCATACGAAGATGTCAATTTTCGGTGCTTCTTTGTTTGACAATCATTTTTCATCACGTTTTTACAACAAGTTTCATAATTTTTTATATTTTTTTTTTCTTTTTGGCAGCATTTCATAATTTCTAATGATCAAATATTTTGAAGACATCAGCTCTCCTTTAAGGGATTTCCCGACAGCCAACGACCGGCTCATTAAATGGGTCAACTCAAATTGAGAAGTCCACTAACCTCCTATGATAACCCTAAGGAAACTTTCAAGCTGTCAACCTCTCCCCCTTCGCTCTTCTGTTTACGACCAAATGGAACCTGAGGGAGTGTCACTACCGTGGATCCACTCACATCGTTTGATGCCTTGGAATGATCTGAGGAGAGGTGATTGTTGTCGACTCTTTGAATCTCAGAGTGATGGGTACTATTGTAAACTCTGTGATCTTTTCGTGCACAAGAAATGTTGTGACGAGCTCTCTGAATTCATCGACCACCCATCTCACGCTTACCCCATTCACTCTCTCATGCTACAAAAAGAAAGAGATTTATGTTTTTTGTGTGGAAGGAAGAACGTGAGTATACACCATCGTTGTCAGATATGTAACTTTGAAGTGGATCTACTATGTGCCAAGTACCCACCACCTGATGTTCTTGAAAATGTCAAAATGCACGGCCACAAACTCACACTTGTCAAGGAACTGACCGGGTTTGATTGTTCTGCTAAATGCGGGAAGACTGATAAGGGGTTTCCATACAAATGTGAAGAATGTGAAGATGTAGCCTTCCATGTGGATTGTGTTTGGCACCCAACAGCAGAGGTAAAACAACAATTGGAGGTAGACCATTCTTACCACCCCTTGCATCTTCTTAATCTCTTCACTGGTCCACCACCGGACTATTCTGATGGAAAATGTTGTCTTTGTGGAAGAGAGGTTGATGAAGAATTCTTTTATCATTGTTCTTCTTGTAACTTCACCTTGCGTTGTGTTCTGCACCCACCACAACAGACTATTGTAGATTTGAATGCTCATGATCACCCACTCAGCCTTCTTCCAAGACTCGATTCTTTTAAATGTAATGCCTGCGGTCTCACGGGAGATCGAAGCCCTTACATATGTGTTCCATGCGGTTTCATGATCCATCAAGACTGTCTTCTCCTTCCACGTGTCATTAATATCAACCGACATGATCACCGTGTTTCTCGTACTTCTGTTCTTGGTGAGGGTGCTATGAATTCTGTGTGTGGAGTTTGTCGCAAGAAGGTGGACTGGACTCGTGGAGGGTTTTCTTGTCAGAGGTGTCTTGGCTATGTCGTTCACTCTAATTGTGCTACCAACAAAGATGTGTGGAACGGGAAAGAACTTGAAGGATTACTTGAAGAAGAAGAAGATACAAAGCCTTATTTGGTGATAGATGACAACACAATACAACATTTCAGCCACAAAGAGCATCACCTAAAGCTCCATATGAATGGCATTCGGTATGAAGAGAGCAAACGATGCAGGGCATGCAACCATCCGATAGGTCTCCAATCGTTTTATGGCTGTATGAAATGTAATTTTTCTCTCCACAAGAAATGTGCTGAATGTCCTAAAAGGAAATGGCATGTGCTACACAATGACCGGCTCACTTTAGTTATTAACGAGGAGGAAAATGTCTTCAATTGTGATGCTTGCGAAATGGATTCCAATGGTTTCATGTACAAGCATGGGGATACAAAGTTGGATGTCTTGTGCGGTTCAGTTCTTGAGCCATTTGTCCATCCAAGTCATCCACACCACCCCTTATATCACATTCCAACAGAAAAAGAAGAAATATGCAATGGTTGCAACAGCTGGGAAACACATATCCTCAGGTGCATTGAAGGTGATTGTGGATTTATATTGGGCTTCGAATGTGCCACTCTACCACAAGTGGTAAAACACATAGCTTACAATCATCCTCTCTCACTATGCTATGGAGAAGAAGAGGTAATTGGTAAATACTGGTGTGACATTTGTGAGAAAGAAGTTAATCCAAAAGAATGGTTCTACACGTGTAAAGATCACTTGGCTAGTTTGCATACAAATTGTGTGCTTGGAAGCTTTTCAGGGCTCATGCCAAGAAGCATAGCAAAATTCTTGTGGAAATCGTATGAGGTGGTGCTCAATAATAGTGTAACTCGTCCATTTTGCAGCGAATGTGAGTCTCGTTGCAGTTATCCTATCTACCTCAACTTGCTTGGAAACTCAGAGACATACATTTGTTCTATTATTTGCCTATTTGCTTAGTTAAAACTGTAGTATAATAAAGTTGGCAGTGGAGGCAAGATGTTTATTCGTTTCAGTTTCTTATATTTTTCCTTGGACAAGTTCGCTTTCATTAGTAGTTGATCTCCCTTATGTATTTATCTTATCCATAAGGCCTGCTATAACCAACAAGCTGTCTTCTTAAAAGAATACATTATAACGAGAGTTGTTCGCACATGTTACCATTGTCTCTGCCTATTAAAACAAGAAGAAAGATCTATATATCTTCTCCTGGGTAGAAAGTCTGCAGTACTGAATCAGCAAGAATCCGCAGGTTTATTCCTCAGACGTGAAGAGCAAGATATGAAGCTCTTGTTGCATCTAATGGAGACTTTTTGAATGTGGGAAAAAGAAGAAGCAGCTCCTCCTGTCAAGTTCTCAAATCATATCGAGCAACTTCAGCTCATTAACAGCATAAGAAAACGTCTAGTTAGATCTCAAACCAAGCCTGTCATTGATGATAGTTTGATTCTCTATTTGTAACCAAAGATAAGATAAGAGATCTATCCAATGATGCAGATTCTCTGAAACATATATAATCAGGCCCCAACGCTTCTCTGTGCTTGTGGATGAATTCACCACCCCACCACCATATGCCCATAATGAGCTACACTTGAACTAGAACTGATCAGAGCTTTGGGTGAATGTTCATGTGTGTTTGCAGTCGAAGTGAAGTGGGCTGAGGCCACTGACAAGATTTTTCTCACTGTAGTATTAGCTGATTCTTAGGAGAGTAAAGTTAATCTAGACCCTGAAGGTGTCTTTGATTTCTCTGCCAAAGCTGGTCCCGAGAACCACGTTTATGAACTTAAACCCGAGTTTCATGATAAAGTCAATGTAGAGGTGGGATCCTTAGACTAACCTGGTCTTAGTTGTTTCATCTATTGCCTGATGAAGGTTCTGAAACCTGCTTTGATTTCAGGAAAGCAAGATTAACATTGGAGTAAGAAGCATCTTCTGTATAATAGAGAAAGAAGAGCCTGAAAGGGTGGAATAAGCTGATCCGTGGAGGAAAGCGCCACACTATGTCAAGACTGATTGGGACTTGTGTATATAGACTCTCTGCAGTTTATATAAAGTCCTGGAGGTGTTGACTCGTTTCTGCTGTTTGATTTGATTTAGGTACTGGAGATATGGATATGGGAGGAATGGATTTCTGGGTTTGTTTCTAGCTTTTGTGAATGTTGTCTATCTTCTACTCTTATATATGTATATATCGCTTTGAGAATTGACGTCATGGTGCGAAGAGCCATTGTCAGATGGAGCAAGAAGTTTTATGAGAACAGCAGAAAGACTTTGGAGACTTTACGGGACCAACTAGAAGAGGCTATGACAGAGACAATACCAGATGAAGAAAAAATCTATCAGATCAACTCCAACCTGCTCCAAACATACAAAAAGGAAGAAGAGTTTTGGAAACAGAGGAGTAGACAACTTTGGCTGACATTAGGAGATTCAAATACCTCTTACTTTCATGCCACCACGAAAGCCAGACAAGCTAGAAACAGGTTGACGGTCATCGAGGACGCCAATGGAAAACCAGTGTATGAAGAAGAGCAAATTGCCTCAGTTATCTGTAACTTCTACAGCAATCTCTTTACCTCTTCGGGACACAATGGGGGAAAAGTAGTAGAAGAGGCCCTTAAACCTGTTATTTCACAACAGATGAATGAGGAGTTAATCCGTAAACCAACAGCTAGTGAAATTAAAGAGGCTACCTTTGCTATCCACCCTGATAAGGCACCGGGACCAGATGGCTTCTCGGCCAGCTTCTTCCAAGCAAACTGGGATGTAGTAGGCCCAGCAGTGATTCAAGAGGTTCAAGGCTTTTTCGCCACAGGAAACCTCAGAAACTCGCAAAATGAAACACATGTCAGGCTTATTCCAAAGCACACGGGAGCTAAAAGCGTAGGAGATTACAGACCCATTGCTCTATGCAATGTGTTTTTCAAAATTATCTCTAAAATGCTATCGCTCAGACTCAAACCGATACTACAAGTGATTATTTCGGAAAATCAATCAGCGTTTACTTCAGGAAGAGCAATTTCAGACAATGTTCTCATTACTCATGAAGTGCTACAGTACCTAAAAACATCACAAGCACAAGTTCGTTGCACCATGGCAGTTAAAACTGATATGTCTAAAGCCTATGACAGGGTGGAGTGGAACTTCCTAGCTCAAGTTATGCAGAGATTGGGTTTTCATCAGGTTTGGACAAATTGGATTATCCAATGTGTTTCTACAGTGACATACTCCTATCTTATTAATGATACAGCACATGGAACTGTCAAGCCTCAAAGGGGAATCAGACAGGGGGACCCTCTCTCACCTTATCTATTTATCCTATGTGGAGAAGTTCTGTCAGGTTTATGCACAAAAGCAAAGAAGGAGGGAACCTTACGCGGTATTAAGGTGGCGAGAAACTGCCCAGCAGTCAACCATTTGTTATTCGCAGACGACACAATGTTTTTCTGCCAAGCGACCAAGGATAATTGCCTCCAACTCCAACACATTCTCCTGCAATATGAAGAGGCATCTGGTCAAAGGATCAACAAGGACAAGTCTTCTATCACTTTCTCGTGTAAGACATCAACGGAAATAAAATCTATGGTTATGGAGTGCCTGGATATAACTAGAGAAGGAGGCTCAGGTAAATATCTTGGATTACCTGAGCACTTTGGCAGGAAAAAAAGGGATTTGTTCACGTCCATTGTAGACAGAATAAGGCAAAGGGCATCGACAAGATCCACCAGGTTCCTGTCTAAAGCCGGGAAACTCACTATGCTCAAGTCGGTACTAACAGCCATCCCAACGTACTCCATGTCCTGCTTCGAACTACCTGCCAGTTTATGTAAAAGAATACAGTCAGTCCTGATGAGATTCTGGTGGGATGACTCAGAAGATAAAAAGAAAATGTGCTGGGTTTCTTAGGATAAAATGACAAAACCAAAAGCAGTTGGTGGACTAGGTTTCAGAGACATTCAATTATTTAATCAAGCACTACTAGCTAAGCAGGCATGGCGCATACTAACAAACCCGGGGAGTCTACTAGCTAGAATACTACTAGGGAAGTACTGTCACAAACAAGCTTTTCTAAAAATCGAAGCACCAGCAACATGTTCACACGGATGGAGAAGTATTCTACACGGAAGGGACCTCCTACGAGACTACATTGGTAAAGCTATAGGGAACGGTCAAACCACAAATGTCTGGAAGGACACATGGATCTCGCTAACAGAACAATTAAGACCCTTTGGTCCGATTGCCGAAGCGGAGTTGGACCTCTCAGTTTCAGACCTTCTCACAGACGACTTAAAATGGAATACTAAAAGAGTGAAAGAAGTACTTCCCATGTTAGCAGAACAAGTGCTGAGCATCAAACCAAGCCAACAGGGTGCCGAAGACATTTTTATTTGGCAACCAACCACTTCAGGTGTGTACTCAACCAAATCTGGATATGCAATGGCTTCTCTCAAGAGCATCACCAACAACAACCAAAATACCGACGGCTTTGATTGGGTGAAGGATGTCTGGGCTACTAATTGCTCACCCAAGATGAAAGTATTCACATGGTCCATCATCCAAAAAGCACTTCCGCTAGGAGAGAACCTACAAAGCAGGGGTATACAGGACCAAGCGGTGTGTGTGAGATGCAAAGGAATAGAGACAGCAATGCACGCTTTTTTCGAATGTCAATTCGCAAAGGAGGTTTGGAAGAATGTACCTCTCTCCAAAGTAGTTCACATAGCTACTGAAACAGACTTCAAGGGAGCCATTATAGCATTTAGGAAAAGCACAAGTCTCCCACCTTCAGGCATCGTAGGAGACATCCTGCCATGGATTTGCTGGGCCCTCTGGACTGCCCGTAACTCTCTGATTTTCGAGAAAAGACACCTATCTCAGGAGGAAGTGATATCAAAAGGACTACGCCTAGCAAGGGAATGGAGCTTTGCTCAGGGTTCTTCAGTGCAGATAACAAAGCACGCTCCTAGTGAAAGCACGAAAAGATCCTATGGCATCGGAGGAGTACAAGCAGCAACATGTAAATCGGATGCATCCTGGGATAAAACAACAAATAAAGCGGGATTAGCTTGGATAATCACAGACCACACAGGAGCAATAATCAAGCAAGGAACCACAACCCAGGAGAGGGTTACCTCACCAATAGTCGCAGAAGCTCTGGCTCTCCGGCTTGGAATCATCGCAGCAGTGAATCTCGATCTCTCAAGGATCAAGATACTCTCTGACAATACAACGCTCATCAGAGCAATTAACAACGACATGCAGAACAAAGAAGTTTACGGAATCGTCAAAGATATCCAGCAAATTTCATCTGTGTTCGTCGATATCTCCTTCTCTTTTCTTCCTCGACTTCAAAATGCTGAGGCCGATCTCTTAGCAAAAAAAACCCTACGGGGCTCATCTGTTTCTGCCCGGTTGGGCTAGTACTATTTTTAGCCTTTGGGCCTGAGGCCAAAACCTTGTTATTTTTCTCAGCTTTTAATATTAAGTACCCCTTTGACAAAAAAAAGAATTGACGTCATGGTTGATTCTTTCTTCTTGCAGAACTTTGGTGGAATGGGAGGTATGGTAGGAATTGGCGGCATGGGAGGAATGCAAGAGTTTGAAGACAGTGATGATGAAGGTAAATCTCTGTTTAGTGTCATTAATTGTAATCACAGTGAAATGCTTTTTGTGATTGCAACAGAATTTGCAAAACCATGACGCAAGAAAGATGAAGCCTTTAAGGAGGAAAGGAAACCAGTAGATGTTGTTAAGGAAGACAAGTGAAGATGGCAGTGTTTGTTTCAGAGAAAAACTTATTATGATGTTTTGCTTCCAAGTTCCCAAAAAAAAAAAGATTAATTTTTTTTTTCAGTTTGCTTTTTTAAAAAATAAAATAAAATAAAAAAATAAATGGACCAATCGTATACCGTCATGTGGTGTGGAACCCACGAAACAGTAGTGAAACAAGTTTGTCCGGAAGAGCTCAAGCGAGACGAGTTCATCATGAGGCATTATTATAATTTTTTTTTTTTGGGAAGTGTGAGAGTTTTGCTCATGAAACTCTCTTGTACCTTTGTTGGGATACTCTAATTTGCTAAGGGTTATTAGTATTATATTTTTAAGTTTATTAAACCCTCTTATTCACTTCCTCTTTTCTAAAATGTTGTTACTCTATGTTGCTCTTAAGGATTCATCGGCGTCTTGTGTATCGGTGTTAGCATTCTCTTGAGCTTCTTGTAGTTTGAGAGTCTTGTGTATCGGTGTTAGCATTCTCTTGAGCTTCTTGTAGTTTGAGAGAATCGCCTCTTTCGTATGCTTTTAGACGACCTAAGATATCTTCAAAACTCGTCGTATTAAGAAAGTACTTGTTCGAGAGATGTAACAATGCAGATTGTTCTAATTTCAATTGTAGATATCTGGTAATCTGCAAAAATAGAATAAAAAAATTTTTAAAATATTTTTTCAAAAATATACTAAAATTTGTTAAAATAATTCTTTTTAAAGAAAAAAAATTAAATTAAAAATATACTCTTTAATATTATTTTTTAGAAAAAATGAAAAAGAATTATTTTATTATTAATAATTATCTGCAGGTTCCGCAGATTATCCGAAAAAATTAGTGGGGCTGATACAGATAAAATTTATTTTCTTTGCGGGTCGGACAGTGCGAGTTTGTCTCGCTTCCCAGCACCAAGCGTAGTTAATTGTTATTATTTTCTCAAAATAAAACTACACAATTACATATAATACATTTACATATATATATATTGATGATAATAATAAATTAAAATCTAAAATAATTTTAGAAAGTTATATTAGACAAGAACATTTTACATCATCAAAGCCAAAAAAAAATTATCGATCCATCTGTAGATAAAACAACAAAAGGGGTATCCACGCTTTTTGCGGGTCAAAAATCTAGTACTCATGTATACTTTAAAACTATTCAAAGGCTGTAGGACAAATAATCACCCTGAATAAAATACCACAATAATCCATAAAACATTATTCGAAACTTCAAAGATAAAATAAAAGAAAATTAGAATATATAAAAACAATTATGTGTAACACCTAATTATAGGAAAATGGATATCGACATTAAAAAAATACCAAATAACATTTTTCACCTTCAGTGTTTTGATTGTGAAAAATGGATACATATTTCATAACAACCCAAACTATGTGCTAAAGAAAAAATTAGAAATCTATATTTAATATTTACAACAACCTCAAGCAATATTTTTTAATAAAATACTCAGTTAAAACTGATAAACAATATAACTGCACAATTTTTTTAAAAAAAAATTATATACAAACTCAAACAAATCAGTTAATATAGTAGTATGAATGAAAATTTGAACCATAAACCTCCTTTGATGAGTATGTATGAATTTATTTCTCAATCTCTCTCATTATATTAAAAATGTCACAATTCTAATTCACTTTTAAAAGATTTCGTAAATATCAAACTTACAAGAAATTTGTCTCTTTTTGAAGGATGTGATGTAAATACAGCTTAAGTTCAAGGAGATCTATCAAGAAAATATAAATAAAGAGACAACCAAATTTATAGCTACCTTCCAAACTCAAATTTTATAGGGTTTTTGGACAAAATTACCAAACAAATATAATATTATAAAAGAAAAATAAAATCACATATACTGCGACGCAGAAACGAACCTAGTAATTTATAACGATGGAATATTTTGAAGACATCAGCTGTCCTTTCAGGGATTTCCTGACAGCCAACGACCGGCTCATTAAATTAGTCAACTCTATTACTACAGATTCTATTTTGTGGGCCAACTCAAATTGAGAAGTCCATTAACCTCCTATGAAACCCTAATTAAGGAAACTTTCACGCTGTCAACCCTTCGCTCTTCTGTATTTTTTCAAGTTTAGGACCAAATGGAACCTGAGGGAGTGTCACTACCGTGGATCCACTCACATCGTTTGATGCCTTGGAATGATCTGAGGAGAGGTGATTGTTGTCGACTCTTTGAATCTCAGAGTGATGGGTACTATTGTAAACTCTGTGATTTTTTCGTGCACAAGAAATGTGGTGACGAGGAGCTCTCTGAATTTATGGACCACCCATATCACCCCAATCACACTCTCCATCTTCGACATATTCAAGGTATCAATAGTATCCTATGTGATTTATGTGATAGGAGAATCTTGTTTCTATCCTATCGCTGTGATATGTGTAACTTCGACATGGATCTACGCTGCATCAAGTACACACCACCAGAAGTTATTGACAATTTCGAGAAGCACCACCACAAGCTCACACTAGTCAAGGAACGGACTGAAATTAACTGTTGTGCTAAATGCGGGAAGGCTGGTCATGGATATCCATACAAATGTGAAGAATGTGAAGTAGCCTTCCATGTGGATTGTGTTTGGCACCCAACAGCAGAGGTAAAACAACAACTGGAGATAGACCATTCTTACCACTCCTTGCATCCTCTTAATCTCTTCAAGGGTCCACCACCGGACTATTCTGATGGAAATTGTTGTCTTTGTGGAAGAAAGGTTGATGAAGAATTCTTTTATCATTGTTCTTCTTGTAACTTCACCTTGGATATGCGTTGTGTTCTGAACCCACCACAACAGTCTATTCTAGATTTGAACTCTCATGATCATCCACTCACCCTTCTTCCAAGACTCGATTCTTTTACTTGTAATGCTTGCGGTCTCAAGGGAGATCGAAGCCCTTACGCATGCTTTCATTGTGGTTTCATGATCCATCAAGATTGTCTTGGCCTTCCACGTGTCATTAATATCAACCGACATGATCACCGTGTTTCTCGTACTTCGGTTCTTGGTGAGGGTGCTATGAATTCTGTGTGTGGTGTTTGTCGCAAGAAGGTGGACTGGACTCGTGGAGGGTTTTCTTGTAAGAGGTGTCCTGGCTATGTCGTTCACTCTAAATGTGCTGCCAGAAAAGATGTGTGGAACGGGAAAGAACTCGAAGGTGTACCTGAAGAAGAGGAAGATATAGAGCCATATGTGGTGATAGATGACAACACAATTCGACATTTCAGCCATGAAGAGCATAACCTAAAACTCCATAGGGCTGGCATTCAGTATGAGGAGAACAAACGATGCAATGCGTGCACCCACACCATTGGTCTCCAATCGTTTTATGGCTGTATGAATTGTAATTTTTCACTCCATCAGAACTGTGCTGAATGTCCTAAAAGAAAATGGCATGTGCTACACAATGACCGGCTCACTTTAGTTATTAATGAGGAGCTACATGTCTTCAAGTGTGATGCTTGCAGAAGGGATTCCAATGGTTTCATGTACAAGCATGGGGATACAAAGTTGGATGTCTTGTGCGGTTCTGTTTCTGAGCCATTTGTCCATCCAAGTCATCCCCACCATCCCTTATATTACATTCCAACAGAAACATATGGAATATGCAGTGGTTGCAATAGTTGGGAACGACATATCCTGACGTGCGTTGAAGGTGATTGTGGATTTGTATTGGGATTCGGTTGTGCCACTCTACCACAAGTGGTAAAACACATTGCATATGATCATCCTCTCTCACTATGCTATGGCGACAAAGAGGCAAGTGGTAAACACTGGTGTGACATATGTGAGAAAGAAACCAATCCAAAGAGTTGGTTCTACACCTGTAAAGATCACCTGGCTAGTTTGCATACAATCTGTGTGCTCGGAGACTTTACGGGGCTAATGCCAAGAAGCACAGCAATAGTGTGGGACAAATTGTATACGGTGGTGCTCAATAATAGTGTAACTCGTCCATTTTGCAGCAATTGTAAGTGTCGTTGCATGTACCCTATCTACCTCAACTACAAGTGGGTTGGATACTCAGATACATACATATGCTCTAACATTTGCGCAAATTTTTTTAATTACAACTGTAGTATAATAAAGTAGGCAGTGGAGGCAAGATGTTTATTCGTTTCAGTTTCTTATATTTTTCCTTGGACAAGTTCACTTCCATTATAAGTTGATCTCCCTAATGTATTTATCTTAACCATAATGCCTGCTATAACCAACGAGCTGTCTTCTTAAAAGAATACAGTATAACGAGAGTTGTTCGCACATATCACCATTGTCTCTGCCTATTAAAACAAGAAGAAAGATTTATTTATATATCTTCTCTTGGGTAGAAAGTCTGCAGTACTGAATCAGCAAGAATCCGCAGGTTTATTCCTCAGACGTGGAGAGCAAGATATGAGAAGAAGAAGCTCTTGTTGCATCTAATGGAGACTTTCTGAGTGTGGAAAAAGAAGAAGCAGCTCCTTCTGTCAGGTTCTCAAACGATACCGAGCAACTTCAGCTCATTAACAGCATAAGAAAACGTCTAGTTGGATCTCAAATCAAGCCTGTCATTGATGATAGTTTGATTCTCTATTGATCACCAAAAGGAGAACATGTGATGTACTGGTAACCAAAGATAAGATAAGAGATCTATCCAATGATGCAGATTATCTGAAACATAATCAGGCTCCAACGCTTCTTTGTGCTTGTGGACGAATTCACCAACACTCACTATAGCCCAATAATATGGAAAGCCCCACCACCATATGCCCATAATGAGCTACACTTGAACTAGAGCTCAGAGCTTTGGGTGAATGTTTCTTGGCCAATGTAAAATTTATCTATCACATATGTGTTTGTAGTCGTCATCCCGAAGTGAAGTGGGCTGAGACCACTGACAAGATTTGCCTCACTGTAGTATTAGCAGATTCCAAGGAGACTAAAGTTAACCTAGACCCACCAAGTGTCTTTGATTTCTCTGCAAAAGCTGGTCCTGAGAACCACGTTTGTGAACTTTTAACTCGAGATTCATGATAAAGTCAATGTAGAGGTGGGATCCTTACACTAACCTGGTCTTAGTTGTTTCATCTATTGCCTGATGAATGTTCTGAAACCTGCTTTGATTTCAGGAAAGCAAGATTAACATTGGAGTAAGAAGCATCTTCTGTATAATAGAGAAAGAAGAGCCTGAAAGGGTGGAATAAGCTGATCCATTGAGGGAAAGCGCCACACTATGTCAAGACTGATTGGGACAAGTGGGGTAGATGAGGATGAGGAAGGCAACGCTGGTTAGCCTTCATCTTAAATCTATTCATGTGTATGTAGACTCTGTTCCTTGTATAGAGTTCTGGAGGTGTTTACTGGTTTTCAAGTAGCCTTAAGGAAACATTTTGGTCAGACTTTGGTTAATCTCTGTTTAGTGTCATTACTTGTATAGATTTATTTATATACAAACCAAATATTATATTGGTGTGGGTTTGTTGGGTAATCTTAAGGGTCTGATCCAACTGTCGACAAACACGGTACTTAAACTTCAAAATGTTTTGTAAATCGACTATTGCGTGAAACGAAAGTGAAGAAAAAGCTGTTCAACCACACATGTCTCTTTACTGGGTTTTAGTTATAATCCAAAGTTTAAAATAATATGAATTAAAAATTTAAAGTCACTACAAGAAACAAAAGGCAGAGAGACACACGAGAAGCTTAGTTTCACGACATTTCTTACAACACATTCAAAAAAAAGAAACGCAAGACAAAATACAAAACGGGAATTATAAAAAACTTACTTGTTGTTTAACAATAGTAACGCCATGTGGTTGGAGTCTTGTTTACTTGATGTATTGAGAGAGCCACTTGAAGCCTTCGCCATAGCCCATCTTTCTGACGATGCTGCACATGAAAACCTCCAATGGTCTTACGTTCGAATCCACTAGGTTCACTTTACCCTTTCCCGTTGTGAAGTTGGAGAGGCCAAGATGGTAACGGAGCTCGTCTTCTGATGCAGCGTAAGGTATGTCTATCTTGTTTCCTAGGATGAGGAAGGGAACAGTGGCTAGAGACTCGTCTGAGAGAAGTGCGTCCAGTTCCTTTTTTGATTCTGCAAATCTCTCCTTGTCGTATGCATCCACTAGGTAGACCACAGCATCCACCTGCAAATAAACAGAGTATAAATCATTGAAACTAATTGTTCATAAAACTCTACCATTGAACAAGCCTGAATGAGTTAAGAAAATTGGAGTTACAGATTCTGATTCTACTATGCTGATCGAAAAAAAAAACTTTAGGGTAACTTAAAAACAATAAACATGTCTTTCACTAGACTGAAGATGATCTAGCATGATGAATTGCCTGCAAACTAGGATTTCACTAGGAAAGAATACCTGTGCAATATCAATCTAGTGGATGTGAACGACACGCAGAAGCTTGAATGAGTTGAAACATTTGAAGTTATACAGATTCTAATTCTACTATGCTTATCGAAAAAGCTTTATACTCAGGATAACTGGAGAATTAAACTAGAGAAAAAATAATCTAACATGAAATGAGCAAAACTACAGGCCTGCACTAGGAAGAATAAGTGTTCAATGTTGATTCAATGGGTGAAATGCGAGCAAAAACTTCAACATGAGGAGAATGTGGGGCAATGATAAGATAAGCAGTAGAAAGCAAAGTATTCATGAAACTAATGGTTATTCTGCCATTGAGGAAGCTTGAATGAGTTGAAACATTAGACGTCACAGATTCTTATTCTACTATGCTTTATGATAACTAGAAAGCTAGAAACATGGCTTTCACGAGAGTGAAGCTGATGATGTAACATTACAAAATTCCCTATGAAGGAAAAAAAATACAAACCATTCTATCACAGTTTCACTAGTAAGAAAAAATGTGCAACATTGATCTAATGGGGTGACTCATGAGCAAAAACTCATCAATGCAGGGACTATGAGGGGGAAGTGATTAGACAAAAACAAAATCTCAAGTTGCACACTCCATGATATGATAAATAGCATAAAAAAGCAAGAGACAATATGTTCACCTTAGCGTAGTAATCTTTCCAGACCCTGCGAGCAATCTGATGACCACCCAAATCAAAAGCCTTGAACTTGATTTTTCCAATGCTTAGTTCCTCAGACGTTGGATGCTGTGTAGGCTGGTGCTGCACCAATCTCTGTTTCACCAAATTTCAAACCAGTTAACATTAACATCGTCTAGAACAACGGAACAAAATACTCCCTCCATGTTTTAGAAGGTTTATGTTGTTTCAAAATATAAGATGTTTTGAGATTTTAAGATATGTTTTGAATTTTTAAGGTTAACTTTAATTTTATTGGAAACTGTTCAACCAGTAAAATTTTCCAACCTTTTTTTATAATTGGTTGAATGATTTTAAAATTATACTCCCTCCGTTTCATACTAAGTGTCGTTTTAGAGAATTTTTTTCGTTGCAAAATAAGTGTCCTTTTCAATTTTCAATGCAAAATTTATTACTTTTATTCTGCATTCTATTTTTCTATTGGTTGATATATGATTAGGTGTATAGGTAATTGTGTTTTTATATGGAAAATATGCAAAATTAATGATTTCCTTAATTCGTGTGCATGAACCTAAAACGACACTTATAATGAAATAGAGGGAGTATCGTTTAAAGTTGTAAATATCTTAATCTCCGTGCAGTCAACCAAAACATCTTATAAAAAGAAACGCAGAGAGTAAGCTTTAGCATCACAGTGACATCCACAAGAACAATCATACACATAATTGGTGGGAGCCTCAAACACTATAACTAATCTAGACTAAAGCTACAAATAACTCAAAAGAAGTCTATAAACGGAAAGTTCCTTAATCAGATTCAGAATCTACTCCCAAAATTAGAAACATTCTCAACATATTCAAATCAAACCTAATCAAAGCACAAAGAGGATCGATTCGGTAGCGAAAACTGAATCGGGATCGAATCAATTAGAGAGAGAGAGAGAGAGATCGAACCTCGTCCTTGAGCATGTGAAGCAAGGTTGTTTTGCCGGCGTTATCGAGTCCGAGGAACAAGATCTTAGCCTCTTTCTGCCATAGCCCTAACGAAGCGAGAACACCGTAGAACCAATCTATCATGAACATGATGACTCGCTACAGAGAGAGAGAGAGAGAAGAGAGATCTTCAGATTCTAATTAGCTTCGAGGTGGAGAGTAAAGACGAAAGAGGCGATTCTCTCTGTTAGAAAAACGGCAAGCAGTGCGGGTTCCAAAATGAGAAACGGGACCCACAGAGATGCCGTCTATAAAGCCCGATTAGAGTGGGTCCAGTAAGCCTCATCATAGATTTATATAAGATCTGATATACTTTTGGGCCTTTTATTGTTAAAGATATAAAAATGGTCTTTTGGTGGACATATATATGTATACGGGACTTGTTTGCAAAATAAATAGGCAACTAGATTTTGACCCGCGCGGGTAATATACTGTTTAATTCTGAGTACCCGGATCCTCGAGTCGGGTCTGGATCGGGTTTTGTCGGGTCAATGTCTTTCGGGTCTTAGAAATTTGGACCCATATAAGTATCTATAATTTTTTGGGTCGATTTCGGATCGGGTCTTGTCAGATTTGTTGGTTCGGGTATATTATCGGGTCGGTTCGGGTATTTAGGACCCGAAAAGGATCCGAAGGACCCAAACTGGATCCCAAAACCCGAAAACTCTAAAAAAGCTCGAAGAACCGCAAAAAATTCCGAAATATTATCCAAAATCAAACCCAAAAAATCAAAAATATACCCGGAATTTTATCCCGATACCCGAATTATATTTTTTTGAAATCTAAAAGTTTACCTAAAACCTAATATTTTATTCGAAAATCCAAATCTGAAACTTTAAAAAATACCTGAATTATCAAAAATATACCCAATCACCTAAATATACCTAATATATACCATAATTTGTGGATACTTAGAATACCCGATCGGGTTTCTAGTAGGACCTGGATGAACCGAGACATGCGGATCCAAACAAGAAATACCCAACAGATACTTTAGCAATGACCCGGACCTGGATCTGTATTTTCGTGTCGGTTCTTGTTCGGGTCTGTGTCAAATACTCAGACCTACTTCTGTTGATAAATTTGTAAACTTACAAATATATAATTTTTTGTATAGATTTGAAGCCTATTTCGTTGTAAATAAATGTTAAAATTATTAGGCTTTTAATTGGCGATTTTCAGTTGAGCTTTTAATGGATGATTTTCATTAAAAATAAAAGGAAGTAGAATGTTTTGTAATTTCCTTAAAAATCAGGGGCTGATTCATAAGCAGTCATCTGTTTTAATAGTATAGATACTGTGATTACATCGGCACTCCACCAATGATGGAAGAACTATATAAGATTCTCGACCGACTAATAGATGAAAAATATTGATCATTTTGAATGTGGATTTGATCGGAACAATGGATGAGGTACATGATGGAAGAACTACATAGGATTCTCCGACCGACTAATGGATGAAAAATATTGATCATTTTGTTAGCGAATTTTTCGGAACAATGGATGAGGTTCATGCATGTGTTAAGGTTAAATCAGAATTACAAAGAATGTATTTGAATTGACATAACAGAACATCATTTAACATAATGGTAATATGTGATCTGAATATATTGTTCACATATAATATATTTGAAACGGAGCATCAAGATTTTGTCATGACACAGCAGTTCTTACCATGCTCAAAGCAATGATCTTGAGTTTCCTTTACCTGCAGATAACTTTTTATGTGGTTGACTCTGGTTATCCAAATAAACAAGGTTTTTCTTTTCCATATAGATCTTCACGAAACATGGTCGTTCGGTATCATATGTCTTAATTCGAAAATGCTCTCCTCTTCCTCGGAATAAGCAAGATCTTTTTAATTGTTGGCATGCATCTTTGTGTTCTATCATTGAAAGGACATTTGGAGTTTGAAAAGGAAATGAAGGATTGTTTATGATTTCTCAAGATATAATATAGAAGTCTAGAAGAGAGTAGTGGTTGCTACAATGGGTCTACACAATTTTATCAGAATTTCAAATTTTATCAATGATGACTTTGCTGAGACATTAGGACAATCACATATTGAAAACATTGATTTGGAGTAGAATTTAAATGACATGGAAACAACGGTTACACCTGAAGGTGATGCAATGGAGAATATTAAAAAAATTGTCTTTGACTCCAGATTGAGCATCTCCGAGAAGAAATATTTGTGCATCAATCAAATTATACGAAAAGATTATTGAAACTTTTTTATATGGACAAAGCGACTTCTTTGAGTACTCCAATGGTGAATAGATTTCTCACTGTTAAAAGAGATGTTGTTTTAAAAGATCCTAGTAAGATCTATAAAAAATACTATGGAGATGCTAATGCTCATTCAAGAAAATTAGAACGGCGTCGAGAATATATTTATTCTCTCCAAAGTACGTACTGATTTAAGATTGGTTTATTCTGGAAACCCCGAGTTTGGTATTGGTTTGCAGATACATGCAATTTATAAAGTCGAACGTAAATGGAACATAGTTTTATAATTGGTGAAACTACGACTACATGTCATTTTGAGAAACAAAATGGGTTTCGACTTCTTCGAAGCATGCCGTGAACGTGTGTGGCTTAGATCAATGAGCCAACACATACAAGAAGTAAGCGGAATAGTAACCAAGAAATAACCGATGAAATTTTTTAAAGATAATTCGGCGCGGGTCGTTCAACTTAAAGAAAGCTATATTAAGAATGAAACATATCTCTCCATGATTTTCCTTGCATATACGGGAGCTCGAGAAAAAAAAAAGTGGTTATAGAGTATGTACGATCATGCGATAATCCGGGTGACTTGTTCACGAAAGCCCTTCCAACTACAACATTTCGCAAACACGTTTACGATATCGGAATGCGGCATTTGTGTGACCTATGAAGAAAGGACTATGTCTATACTTCTCAGGGGGAGATTACGTTAGTGTACTCTTTTTCTCCTTATCACCGTTTTTATCCTATTGAATTTTTTCCATGATTAGGTTTTTAACTAGACACTACGTAATGCAAAATAGATAATCAAAAGAGAGTGTTTAAATAAAATGATACTTATCCATTTTGTGATATTTCTGTAAGTATTAATATAGTAATTATTTCATAAGGAAGTAAGTGTTAGTGGAACTTAGATTTCCATAGAGTTTGTTGATTTTAAGAGTTGATAGATTTGTTAAATTTGGAAAGAGTTGTATAGAATTTTGTATATTGTGAAAATATATGAAGTAAAGTATTATAATGATTTTAAGAATCCAAGTGATGTATGAAGTATTCTGAAAATCTTGTTTTATGAGTTAAAATGTTAAGAATATAACTCTAAGTAACACTTACTTTAATAGATTTGTAGAATCGTTAAAATCTAAACTTTTTGAATAACAAGGAATTTTTTATAGATTTACAACATCATCAAACCAATGCCATTAAACTTTAACGAGAATCTAAGAATCAATAAACCAATAACATAATACTTAAAAATTCTAAAAATCCTTTTTTTGTCAACTCTAAAAATCTTTATAAGTTCTATTCTCACTAACACACCCTAAAAGTAACTGCCATTTAAGAAGTTTAATTAATTTTGGACAATCATCTCTCTCTCTACCGCAAAAAAAGCTCTCGTCTCTCTCTAAACTCTAAAGAAACCCTAGCTCTGGCCCGGCTTCTCCAGTGCCGGAGGTGCTCTTTCTCCCTTTGTTCTCTCTTTTTTCTTTTGCTTCTCCCTCGACGCTATCTTCCCGGCTGATATGCACATGACTCTGGTTTTGTCGAGTCTCGCCGGAGATCCATGTCGTACGGATAACGGCCAAGCTCAGGCTTTCCTTGGAGAAGTGGCGAGGCCAGTGGAACGGCGGAAGAAGGGGAAGTCGGCTTTTAGGGTTTTGGTGAGCCAGATCTAGTTTTCCTTTTTTAGATCTCTGGCGAACTAAGCTCGGTACCGGCACGTGGTCTGGCAAGACGACTCCTCCACCATTAGATCTTCGCTCAATCGGGGCGGTGAAACAATCGGAGGAGAGGACCAACAACCTGAGTATAGAAGTTTGTCCTCCGGTTCTCGGAGACAACACGCACCAAGGGAGACGACGATGGAGTGGTCAACCAGAGAAGTTGACTACGATGGTTCGTGGTGGAGGCCAACATCCCAGCGCCGGAAAGTACTTTATGTTCTCTACCAGTGGTTAGGGCTCCACATTTCTGATATTGTTGTTCCGGCCTGTGCTTGTGTCCGAAACCCGCCTTTTCAGTCATACATGGTTGTTCGTTTGTGGCTGAGAAACGGAAAGCTGAAAGTCGGTGGTGACAAGGAAGTTGTGGGTATGCACCTTAGGGTGTTTGTTGCTGTTGGACCAAGAATTTCAAGCCCATCTTGGGGGTCCAAAGCTTAGAGTTTTAATATTTTCTCAAGTAGACTTTTCATCACCGTACTAGTAAGTGATTTTGTGCTAGAGATCTAATTTAGGTGGTCAAATAACCAACTCTTTCTGTCTGTAGGAGGAGTTTGTGTTCATTGGGATGAAAGTTACAATAGAGACATAGATTAGGTAGCGTATGGTCCATGTAGTGATCATAGGTGTTACTAACTCTCTTTGTTGTAAGTGTGGTTCAAACACTTTTGTGGTGAAAAATCTTGTATCCTTCAATTGGTTAATACAAAGTTGATGTTGAATAAAAAATAAAAAAAAAAGTAACCGCTATTTGTGTACAGAAAATGAATGAGATGACTAAGTTATGTTTCTATCTCTCTCCCTTTACATACAACAACTTAATACAAAGTTAATAATATACAAAGATCTAACTCATACACTCTTATTCTCCCTCACGTATGAACACCATTTCATAAAAAACAAAGTATCTAACACAATCTCAACCTCACCATATAATTCACAACACATCAATATTTACATTTTTTTTTGGCGGCGCAATTTTTGTTATTTTAAATTGGGCAATTCAATTATATTCGTAATGATATATACCAGAAAAATGATTAGTCGGCCGTTTTGAAACTTTTGTTCAGATGTTTCCTTTATACTAATTGAAAATACACCAACAAAAATCCAACATGAAAAGATAAGATCACAAAAGAAGGAGATAAGCACAAATGTCACCGTCTAGTGTACCAAAATAAAAGAAACTAATAATTTATAAACCAATTTAAAAATAATGATAAATAGACGCTGATAATTAGCTCATTATTACAACATATTGTCGATTTGTCACTGATATGCCGAAGGGTAAAGGCTGATTAGTGCCTGAATTAGGGTATCATCCTAATACCTAAATTATTTGACAGTATGATTAGACATTTGAATTAATAACAAATTTGCAATTAATACATAAACTAAAATTAAAAAAAAAATTAAGTGGCTATAATCGATAAGGTGTCGATAAAATGTTGATATTGAATGGTTTATAATAGAGAAATAGTTCATTATAGTGTCTAAATTAAGGTCATATCATCTAACTGATATATAAATTATTTGACTATGCGAACTAATAATAAATTTAAATTTAATATATAAAACTATGTATCATCTAATTTGTTATTAGTTAAGATATTAGATTGCATAATCAAATAGTTTATATATCTATTAGATGTTATAACCTTAGTTCAAGTATTAATCAACTGTTTTTCGTTAATATCATTAATTAATTAATATAATAACAAATGAACTAAAAGAAAAGGAGAATACTAAGATTGTTTTCTTATAAAAAAAAAGTGGAACCCACGAGGCACGAGTTTGAATTTCTGGTGTACTCAGAACCAGCTGACCAGGCGACCGTTGATAAGCAATCATATAATTCGTGAGCCTTAAGGCTTCATTTTCGATCATTGTCAGATACACTTCAAAATATATTTAATTATACTGTTATATAAGTTCAAAAATTCGATCCCATATATTAAAGAAGAATCATTTCAATATTTTATCTATGATACGTATCATTATTAATTTGGCAAAATCCATTGAAAAGTATATTTGTCCACTAAATATATATTTAATTCTCATTAAATAAAATAATTATATGTAATTAATATTTTTATTTTTTCTTAATTAAAATGTACGAAATTAACTAATATGATTGAAGTACATATCTGATAATTAATCATTTTAATAATGAATATTTTATAAAAAAGTCAGTAATATACAATTAATATTTTCTTTTTTTCTTAAACAAAAGTTAGGAAATTATCTAATATGATCAAAATATGTATATATATGACAGTTAATAATTTTAATAATATAAATTTTGTTTATCCTACACCGTTTATGTTTAATTATTAATATAGTATAAAAATCATATTAACTATATAATAAAAATTGCATTTTTCGTTTATGTTATAGTTTGAACTTTTAAAATAATTATAAATTACTAAAACTGTTAAAACTCCCATATTATTTTTTGTGAACTATGGTCTAAATTTTTTATTATAAAAATACAAAATAATCTTAAAACCATATGAGTAAAAATCTCACTTAGTAGATATTTAAAATAATACATATAGATATATATTAACGTATATACCACATAAAAATATAAAAATATTTAATTTCAAAGTTTTCATTGAACAAGAATTGAGAGCTTTAAATTTTTAATTTTGAAATTTGAAGTAAATTTTTAATAACGATTATAATTATTAAAATTATTAAAAGTTATAATTGTATTATCATGGGTTTACAATTTTGTTAAAAAAGACAGATAATCATAAAACCATATGATTAAGAAGTTTTATTTAATAAATACTTCTATTAAAATATATTATATTTATGATAATATCATTTAAAGTTAATTATATTCCTATAAAATATATAAAAATGATTGTTTAGATTTATCTACCATAAAATAAAAGGATAGCAAATAAAAAAAGTGATTTTTGCATCAATTTAATTCTATATATAATCACTGATATTTTTATGATTTAATATATATTTATTATTTTGTTAAGATTATAATATAAAATCTAAAATAAGTAATAATACGTAAAAATAAGCCACTGCCAAGATCAAACATTATATATTTAAGTTATTTTTAGAAATTAAATGTTTTCTATATTATAAAATTATTTATATATATATATATTAAGTAACTAAAAATTCAGTAACATTTATGTATATAAATAAATTGGTGTGAATACATAAATAAATTTGAATTAATCCAAACAATTACTTTTAAAATTTAATATTATAAACAATTATATTTAAAAAATATATACATAGATTATATATATATATATATATATATATGTTATTGATAGATGTTAAATGATGGGTTCTACTCATTTGTTTTTTTTTGATGATTTGTATCCTTTTGTAGTAAAAACTTAAAATTCCTGATAACAAAATTTTCGTTATGAGATGGTTAAATTTTTTGGTAATTTATAAGTTTTAAAAACATTCATTGCAAATTTTAAAAATTAAATATTAAATTGTAAGTATTTGTTCAAAGCTTCTTATCAAAACTATGTATTGTTCAAACCAAATTTCAAAACTAAAATAGTATATATATATATATATCTTTTAATTTTATTGTTTATTTTCTATTTTTAGTTATATGATTTTGTAATCATTTGTATCTTGTCATAAAAAATAATTAAATCATGGATTATAAAAATTTCAAAGTGAGGTTTAAAAAAATAAAAATATAACATATACGAAAAGAACTAAATTTTTACTATATAGTTAATGTGTTTATCTAATTTATGTTAATAATTTAAAGTTAATCCAAAAGGATAGAAGTTAATTTGTATTAAATCTTTATAATTTAAAATCATTGATTGTCATATACACTTTACCCACATTAAGAAGTTCCGTAATTTTTAATTAAAGAAAGAATTGAGAACATTAATAATTAATTTATGGTTAATTTAATATAATAAAAAAGTTATTATATATTTAAATAGACCAATTTATTTATCTAAAATTTCTAAGAATAATTGTGGTGATGACACGTAATTATCTTAAATGTTGTAATGTTTCTCTTTTAATATATAAGGGACAATCTTGATAAATCTATCGCTAGGTACCATAATTAAGTTGGATTTTTTTTCTAGTGTTTGACATCCACGTTTTGAGCCTAATAAATCAGATTATCATATTTTTCTTTTGCTGGTGATTGTTTACTTTAACCTATTGCTGAATTTAGGTGCTGCCTCCTAGTGAGATTGTAGAAATTTTGTTTTTGTTTTTGTTTTGGTTTATCGACCTAATTAATTTATATACTAGTTGCCAAAATGAAGCTCCACGGCCTCTCGGCCAGAATGTATAGACAATTTCAAGGAGAGAGTGACCTATGATGTCATTTATTGTGATGGGTGTATTTAGTTTGTTGCTCAGCCAGCCAATCCTATGGTTTGACATCTTTAATCCAAATATATATATAAATGAAATTTTAAGAGAATGGCAAGAAATGACAAGAAAAAGTTTTGATGAAATGAAAGCTAACCTAATGTATTATTCTACTTGGCAATCGAGTTTTAAGATCACACACCACAATGATTCAAAGGGTTGTTACTATTCTTATGCACACAAGACAACATCAATCAGCCTTTCATTCTGAACTGCCAAAATATATACATTTTAACGTAAGAATAGTATCATCTATTTTTTTTTTTTTTAAAGAGAGAATAGTACTATATCACCGTTCTAAGTGGTATATTTTTTAGGTTTCTTTCAGTATCTTGTTTGGTTCCAACATCTTGATCAGCAATTTTATCATCCTCCGAACTTATTTATTTCCATTATTTTATTCATAGAGAAAGAAAAAGAGAAAAAAGTTGAGGTTTGTGCTGACTTGTGTGATCATATAGTTGACAAATTATACGACCTTTCAACGTGAACTCTGAATTTTGAAAGAATCATTCTCAACTCTTACAGAAACGCGTTTTGTTTTATTAACTTCCCATATTTTATTGCTTATGATTTGGACATCATGTTATGGAAAATACTTTAAACCCGTTAAAGCTGTCATTTGCATGACTAATATATATACATGAATGATTTAAATACGGCTTTGTTTCATGCAACATACTAGTGTACATGTTTTTTTTTTACTGATACTACTACCCATGTTTCACTATAAATTTGTAAAGATTAATAAACAACTTAGGACATCTTTTTAACAAAAGGAATTATAGTTCATGAACTACAGTATAATCTTTATAAATTAACATTCAATAAATTAGTAAACTCTTAGGATCCAGATTTAAAATTTGATTTAATAAATTGATAGATTTATAAAATAAAAATATCAAATTTTTCTTATTTATGAATCATCATATATTATTTTTATTATATTAATTTTTGATAAACTAGTAATTTGAGATTTAATTAAATATTTCATTTAATAAATTAGCATATTTATAAAGAATAAAAAATATGAGAATTTTTTATTATTTTTAAAGTAATATTTTTTTATATTTTACGTAATATTTGATTTATAAGTTAATATCATTTCAAACTAATAAATCTATAAAAATTATGATGTTATTAAAGTATAGAAATTTTATTGTAAATGTTTTAGTTAAATTTCCTATGAAGTCCAATTAATCTTCACTTGAAAGATATAGAATTGATAATTCCTTATGTTTCCAAGTGGATTGCAATGTTTCAAGTGAAGCTTTTTAATGATTTAATTGAGTTTATTTAGCTGCCCAAAATGATTTTCGGTGGAATTTAAATAAAAGGTATACACGCGTAAGGGTAAAACAGGCAATTAAAATATATTATTTTGGCTCAAAAAGCTGTATAAAGTTGCAGTCTCTCTGCCATAAAGCTATACAGAGCAACTCTTCAAAAAAACAAAAACAAAAAACAGAGCAACGTCTTTATTTCCAAGAAAAGAAAATTCAAAAAAAAACAGAGAAGGATCCATAGAGAGAGAGAGAGATGGGAGAAGTGGTTATAATCATTGATGAGACAAAGAGTTCGAAACTGAGAATATCGCGTTGCAGAATTTGTCATGAAGAAGAAGCAGAAAGTTTCTTCGAAGTTCCTTGTGCTTGCTCTGGAACCGTTAAGTTCGCACATAGAGATTGCATACAACGTTGGTGTAATGAGAAAGGAAACACCACTTGTGAAATTTGTCTTCAGGTTCTTTCTTTTTCTTTTTACTACTCTCCAATTATCAATTTTTTTTCAATCTTTACTTCTTTTTTTTTTATGGAAAACGTTTGATTTTTTTGGTGAGGATATGTTTTTGATTTTGTGAAGTGCGCTTCGCTGTTTTGTCTCCAAATATTATTTTGTTTTCCTGAATTGTTTATTGCGTCTCTGTTTTTCCCGTGTTTCTGTTTGGTCGTCAACTAGTTTCATAACGAAAATAATCAATAATCTTAATAATTTGGTTGTATTTTCTTTCTAAATTTAAAATAAAAAAATAAAGTTGGAAACCAAAATTGATTATTGGGTTTAATTGTTTGTCTATGGGACCTAAGTGATTGAGACGATTGCTAATGTTTTTTTGTTTTATTTTAAAAGCGAGTTACAGTGATATAAATATTCACTTAATGAAATTATGAAGAAAAACTTATGAAGATTAAAAATCATGCAGGTGTACAGACATGGTTATACAGCAATTCCGAAACCATCCAAAATGATCGAAGAAGAAGAAGTCACGATCAGGTAGTTATATTCTTTTTATAAAAGATACCAAAATGAATTAAGTTAAATTATCTGAAAATTGGGATTACAAGTAATTGACTCATTGACGTGGTTGCCTGATTCTTTCCTTGTTTACGCGTATAGTAGAGGGCTTGCAAATAGTTTATTACTCATATTCCATAAATAATGAATAATACTAATAAAATTGATAAGAAAAAATTTGTTAATGAAACAGAGAAGGTGGAGGAAGACGAAGAAGAAGATTAGTGTCTATAACTGAATCAGACTTTACTCAGACTAACTCTGTTGCTACTTTCTTCAGATCATTAACTTTCACTGTAAGTTACCTCTCTTTTTCTGTTTTCTTTCTAAATCATTTAGTTTTGAAAGTGTTTTTAGTTTTTTACCAGAATTTTTGGGTAGAAAGAAAGTGAATATAATGTGATAAGAGAGAAAACTCAATATATCAATATATAAATTAGTTAAAACAAATGATGAGGAGGGTTAAAGTCCTTATTAGTTTAGGGATCTCTCTGGAATAGATATGGCAACCACTACTACTTACTATATCCATAGCTTTTTGGCCAAATCTATTTCTTAGCTATGTGGCAAAGCCTATAAATGTGTTGTTCTTGTTGTTATAATGTTTCTTTCCACCAAGAATAAGAAAAGAAAAAATTGAAATCAAAAGTAAAATGTTACCGTTATAAAATTTGTCACCATTTACCTGACGTATTATGTCATCCCGCCCCCTAATTTTATATGAAAAAAAGTTTGGTCAAGGGCTTTTTGGAGTTTGTTGCAGAATTGGAGGTTAGAAAAATTATATTTAATGGTAGGAATGTTGTAGCAAAAAGAAAAGCATGTAAGGTTGGGTAAGTTTGGTGGTTGGCCAAGAACTTTGAGTTTTTAGACTCAAGAATATATAAACGTAAAAAAAAAAATATATATATATATATATATATATATATATATATATATATATATATAAACGTTGTCTCACCTAAAAGACCAAAACTCCTACCAATATATGTTTTCTAACCCTTTATTATATATTGAATCTTTAAAATTTGGAGAGTAAAACCAAGTTTCTTTATGATAAAAAAAAAGAAGGCCAAATGATATACCCAGAACCAACCTGTTCTTTTCTTTATAGGGTTCTTTTTCTTGTTAGTTTGGTGGTAAATAGAATATAGTTTCTTTTTACCTGTTGTTGAAGCCAAATGCTATGAATTTTGGACCCATTTAGTTAAAGTTAAACAAATGTTAGTTAGTGTGTTAGAAATTATTTTGTTAAACTAATGTATACGCATTTTTATTGCAGCTTTCAGTGTTGTTGTTGATGAAACATACATTCGATGTGATTTATGGACCTGAAGAGTATCCATTCACTGTATTCACGGTAAAAACAATGCTCTTTTATTATCAACACCAAATCATTTAATAATATATCAGAAATAATAATTTGGGTGGATGAATATGAATGCAGGTACTAACATTAAAAGCCATTGGAATTCTATTGCCAATGTTCATTATCATTCAAACAATCTCAGCTATTCAGAAAACTATCCGTCGTCGTCAGCAATATCCTGTAAGTTCTCTAATTTACATTTAAATATATCAATTTCCAAAACTCATAGTTTTTTTTTTATGAAAAATGCATATGCATGTATGTTTGACCACTATGTTTCGAAATAATTTGCATGTGAGGAGTGAATATTATTAGTATTTACGCATGCTAGTACGGATTAATTATAGTTTGTATAGGGTAACCACGTTTTGAAAAAAGATTTGTGATCATGGAAAAATATTTTAAAAACCATATTTGACTTTGATTATCATTCATTCATTCATTCATCATTTAATGCCAAGTGTGAAGTTTCAACTTTACTCTCTGACTATGCTGACTTTTTTGGTGATGTTTGACTTTTGGAAAATAAAGGATTCTGAAGAAGATACGCTGAGCTCCTCTGACGACGACGAAGATGAGGTTGAAGATGATGAAGAGCAACAACAACATTTGGCTTAAACACGCATATTAACGAGATTAACGATTTTTTTTATTTTTTCTAATTAAATTTTTTTTTTTTTAACGAAAAGCATCTATTCGATGCTCAGTGTACAATCGGGTAAAAAGTTAAAATAAAGAGACAGTAAATTTACATAAAAGAAAATAATCTTTTTATGAGAAAAAGCTCATTCATTGAGGGTTTTAAGTAACGGTTAAAAATAAATCAGTACCGGAGAAATGTATTGGCCATGTAGTGTATGTAGCTCTGACAACGAGTCCTTTGAAGTTGAGTAATCTGATGCAACACTACTAGTGGATCTGCTTTATCATTTCTACCATTTCTATACAACTTTTCTTTTTAGTTAGTGATTTGTTATGGCGCATGTAAATTACCAAAAGATGCACAAAAGTAAAATGTTTGTTACGCAGTCTTCTTAAACAGGTAAAAAAGAGCAATTCTACAACAAAATCCACTTCTAGAGCAAACATAACAAAAGAAGTCATATTCTTGGTTTGTGTTACTGAATTTTGTTCGAACAAGAAAATGGGATTTTAGATAAAACGGATGTCAAAGGTGTTGGGATCAATCTGCCAAACATTCAAAGCTGCATACTCCTCCAAACACTCCTTTAGCTGAGCCTCACTGTATCCCTGTTTTTTTACATCCCAAAATCACCACTCATGTCTCAGTGATCCATCAATCATCCTTTAGATGAAACAAGAAGAAGATGAAGAAGTAACAAACCTTTCTGGAGATCCAGTTAAGCGCATTTGCATAGCTCACGTGGGTTTTGTTCGACCTTGCAGCTTCGTCTCTTATGATGGAGTATGTGTCTGATATTGCATCCAGTCCTGCTTTCTGTCTATCATCCGCATACAAGGATATTTTCGACATTTGCATCAGTCTAAGCGCCTCATCCACATCACTTTGTGCCACTGATTCTGAGAATCTCAACCTTGCTAGTGCCTATTCAAACAAAAACCAATCATTTATACTCAGATTGTCACTTACAGCTCAAGTTTCCTACTTTCAAGTCTTTCTAACTTACAGCGGATATGCGGAGGATGCTGAGCAGAGTTCTCACTGTTGTGTAAGAATGAGGAGTGTTTGATTTGGCTTCTTCTTGCCTGATGCTGGAGTAAGCTGTTGCTATGTACTCCTCTAACTCCGCTGGAACGTATGGGGATAATCTCCTCGCAGCTGAAATGTATGCACTAGAGAAACAAGCTCATGTTAGAGTCTGTGACTCTCCAGAATATGAAGAACTTTTATAATAACTTACCGGAGAATGTTAGGCTCCAGCGGCTCAAAGCCAAGGGCAGGAGATTCATGTGTCTGGTGCACATGAAGCACATGCTTAGCCAGTTCAAGGTCGCTGTCCATATCAGCTCGATCTAAGATCAGCCAGAGAAGATCGAATCTTGAGAGAAGAGCTGGTGGAAGATTTATGTTTTCAGCTGGTGTTCTTCGCAAATCATATCTCCCCCTTCATAACACACAAATATTCAGTAAGTGATTGCATATATATATAGCTTTATTATTCAATATCATGAAAGGTTAGTAGTTACCAGGCTGGATTAGCAGCAGCAAGAACAGCTGTTCTAGCGTTCAATGACGTGGTGATCCCAGCTTTAGCAATGCTTACAGTTTGCTGCTCCATGACCTCATGAATTGCGGTACGATCTGATTCATCCATCTTATCAAACTCATCAATTGCACAGATTCCCATGTCAGCCAGGACCTGAAACAAGACAATTCTATCAAATATTCTGAATCGCATAGTTCTTATATATTCCAAAATAACATCCAAAGCAAAGTATCAGTGCATCTCACCAGTGCTCCTCCTTCTAGAACCATCTCATTTGTGACTTGATCTCTCATAACAGCGGCGGTTAGACCAACTCCACTGCTACCTTTTCCTGTTGTGTAGACTCCCCTTGGAGCAACGTTTATAATGTGCTTGAGAAGCTGACTTTTGGCAACTCCAGGATCACCCATCAGACATATATGCACATCTCCTCTGATCTATAAGATAACTCACGCATGGCATAGTTTAGTTGTACGCAAATAAAAATATGTTCTACTCAAAATATAAATCATTAAGCTCCATAACTCAATCAACAAACACTATGGAAACTTCAAGTGGAGAAGAACTAAACAGTGCAAGGGATAATTAGAGGACAGGAGAAATCACCTTCATCCCATCCTTTAACTGCCTGTGAGGAGCACCCACAAGCAGGAGAAGCAAAGCTTTTTTGATATCTTCATGTCCATAAATTTCAGGAGCCAGAGATCGAGATAGCTTATTGTAAATGTCACCATCCTCAGCCAAACGTGCAATCTGTTCTTCCTCATCTTTCTGGAACTCATATCTGTAGATTATGACAGAAAAAGTTAAGATTGACACACCAAAGCAACTTCATAACTTAAGCAAATGCCAAAAACATCGAATAAGTTTAACTAAATCAGATATTTCTTCAGAGTTAAAGATTTAGTGGAATTAGCTTACTCCTCGTATTTCTTCTTGAAATGAGTGACAGCTGTTGCTTCCAGATATGTGTCTGCTACTAGACCAGCTCGAAGTGCCTTAAACCCAGTGTAAGGAATGGGAAGAAAAATCCCTGAGAATTCAACAACGTCACCTGGTGCTACCTACAAGGGTTTTAAGGAATATAGCAAGAAATTAATACCAAAAACAACAATACATATTGGCAGAGTCCCTGTAAATTTGTAAATACAGGCAGTGTTCACTGTTCTGTTCGGAGCTTTCTCAAATCTCTAAGCTTAAGTATTCTCTTTGTTTAATAACTGCTTAACTTATGATTATATGTTGCACAATACCTTCATCTTGAACTATTTCAAGTAATTTAGCTACTAATTCAGAAAGAAGAAGAACAAGACTCCAATAACAGCATGAAAGCAAGGTTAGAAAAAACAACCTTTCTTGTCAACTCTCCTCTTAGATGAACAGTCATTGACCGTGGGATATGCCCTTTAGGTACGTGCTCAGCCAACTCTTGCATCTTAGCCTGCAATATCATACTCATCAACTTTAATATCGATGCAACATTCAAATAAAAGGAACACCAAATAACCAGAACAGAACCTCCTGAAACTTAAGAAACTTTGATGCTCTGAGCTGAAGAATAGGATTCCCTGCTTTGCTGTTAACGCGACAGCGGCTAGAAGGGCACTTAAACAGAGGCATGAAAACTCTAGATGTAACTTCCTGTTTTAGCATAATCAGAATCAGTAGTTGTTAGGTAAAAAAGAAACTATGATCAGGCAGGGAAGTTCAGGTTATGTACCTGGTAGATTTCATGACCACAATCTTCACATGTGTATACAGCAACTGCCATCAGTGGCTTAACATCAGAACAACGGGTCACAATACCTGCAATCCTGACAAGCTGCCCAATGTGTGATGCCTTAACCTCCCTGATGGTAGATGGCCTTCCCTTTGAAGGAGCTTTGAAATAGACCTCACTGAATAAAAATTGATTCATTAGTCAAGCTTTTTAAAGAAACATCCAACCAAAGACTGAGTCATCAAATAATCTAAACAAATTAAATCACTAAGAAAGGGCAACAATATCAGTAGCAATACACAAACAATGCAGAATCTATCAGACACAAAAAAAACAGATAACTGGAATGAACTGTTTTTTTATTATCCAAAACAGTAACATGTAATAATAGTTTCGTCTTAAGCCTCACTCTAATTCAGTGTCCTCTAGGGTTTGCTTATGTTTTTTTCAGTTGAGCTAATGATATATGGTGATAATTTGGTCTGAAACTTACTAAAATCTTTTAATCTCAGAAGGGATTTGCTGACGCGGATCAGAAACATCAGCATTCTCAGTCCCGTCATCAGCTCTCTGTGTCATGAGTATGTCATGATCATCATCTGGAAACGCCTCTGTGGGTTCAGGAAGAAGCTCGTCAATAGCAGAGGAGAAAATGGAAACATATCGGCGAGTGTTCTCAGTTAACCGTCCGATAAACTCATGAAAATCATCAAAACCCTTGTCCTGTAATAACAACAACAAAGACACGAGTAAGCTCACTTTGATTTTGTTCCCGACAATCTAAAAAACGAAACAGCAGGAGACAGAGATCAGCTCACATTGATTAGGTCCTGGAGATCGACCTGAACAGCCCGAACCTTACGATTTGCAACGTCTTGCTACAAAAAAAAATAATGAAAATTGTTATTTTATCTAATAAAAAACCCCTAATTAATGAATCTACCAAATTTCAATTAGATTGTTAATTTAACTAATAAACCCTAAAATTAACAATTGATATGAAATTTCTCAGAAAGGGGGAAAATGGTAAGGAGCCCAAAAATCAATTTCCCAGAAATAAAATGATGAGATTCGCTAAAACCCAACATGAGAAAACCCTAATTGAATCAACCAATTTTTTTCTCAATTAGATTGTTAATTTATCTAATAAACCCTAAAATTAACAATTGATATGAAATTCCCCAGAAAGGGGGAAAATTGCAATGAGTTTCTCAGAAAATCAAACCCTAAAATTGTGAGATTCTCTAAAACCCTAATTTAATCTACCATTTTTCAGTTAGATTGTTAATTTATCTAATAAACCCTAAAATTAACAATTGATATGAAATTTCTCAGAAAGGGGGAAAATTTCAAGGAGCCCAGATATCAATTTCCCAGAAAATCAAACCCTAAAATGAGAAACCCTAATTAAATCTACCAATTTTCTTCAATTAGATTTGTAATCGATCGAATAAACCCTAAAAAATTAGGGAGATTTAGCAAAAACCCTAAGAAGAGAAACTCACGAGGATCTCGAGGTACTTAGATCTGCCATCAGCGTCGGTGAAGTTCGCGAGAAACTCCTTCGCAACCGCTGCAAACAATAGATCACAAGTTCACATAAAGAACAAAAGAGGAAGAGTTTCTCGAGAATCAAGAGGGAAAAGATGTTACCTTTATCAGCTTCGAAGTTATGCTCTTTCATGGCTGGAGAGACTCTTAGGCTAACGAGAGAAAGAGAGTGAGAGAGAGAAATGAGGAGTGACTGCAGAATTAGGCGGCAAAGTTATGTAAATGGATATGAGATTTAGGCGGGAAAGTTATAGGAGAGAGGCGGGGATTAAATGGACGGTCAAGATCTAAAGACATGGTGATGTAGCGCAAATGTCGATAATACCCCTACCTGAATATAAACAATGGACGGCCCAGATGAAAAAAAATATGGTGCCAGTTAAAATAAAAAGAAGTGTGCCTGGTGAGAGTCGAACTCACGTCGTCCACACCCAAATCGTGGTTTTTCTACCACTTAACAGCAGACACTTCGTTGATTATTCTACTCTTCCATAAAATAAAAACAAGTGTGACTGGTGAGAATCGAACTCACGTCGTCCACGCCCATATCGTGGTAAGAAAAAATTAGTGACCGTGGCTGGCAAGAATCGAACTCACATCTCCACATGCGACTATGGTGATCAGGATCCTTACCAGTAAAAAAAAGTGTGGCTGCTGGGAATCGAGCCCAGGTCTCCACGGCCACAACGTGGGGTACTAACCACTATACTACAGCCACTTTGTTAATTGATCTAACATAATATGTAATTTATAGATATTATAGAATACGTAATATATTATAGAATACGCACTCGGTTTCCGGTTTGATTCTTGCCATTTATGTGCAATAAAATGTGGGCAAGCGTCACCACCTTTCATCTTCCGTCCTTATTACGAAAACAACCTACGTTTTGTTTGGCCTATTGACACATCCATCATCTACGTTGTGTATAAAGCTATGATCTTTATGTTGACATTACGTGTGTGATTCTCCTTCTATTAGACTGTTTATTTGTTTTGTCTTTTTTTTTTCTTTTGTTAAACTTTTTTTTGCATAAAGCTATGATTTTATGGTTATATGACTTGTGTGATTCTTATTCTATTCGACTCTATAGGCTTTTGCTTTTATCAGATTTGGTCAACAACATCACCTTCATCTTAGGCCATTAAGATCATCAAACAAATAGCAAACACACACAAAAGAGTCTGAATTCATTTGAGTCTACAAAAATTCCTCACATCTTCCTTGTAAGTCTCCTCAATGATCTCTACGAGTTTCTTGATTATGTTCTTTCTTCAACCTAGGACGACCATGAGTGACCAATCTCAATCACACATGTCTTGATCCTTCTTTTTACTTTTCTGTCGGAAAAAAACAATCTTGTTCCTGTTTCTTCTCTTACTTTCACGTGAATCACATCGGAATCGTTTTTTTATTCCAGGTGAATAAGATCGGAATCAAAACGTATATATAACAAACACTTTTCTCAAGATGGCGCATTTGGCAAAAAGGTTATTAAAAAATTCTTATCCTTTAAAAAAAAATATAATATACTATACTGAAGAGAATTCCAATAAGACTTGTGTTTTTTCTAACAAAAAAAAGAGAAAAAGATTGTGAAAAAAAATATCAGATAAAGACATGCAAATCAGCATTAAATATTAATTTGTGTGGAGATAAGGTAGCAAGAAAATCACACCTCCTTGTAGATTTTTTTTCTTTGTTAACGTCATCTCTTTCCCAACAATGATCTACCAAACAGGAATCTACACACAATTGAATCTCAGCCACGTGAAAAGATATGTAAATGTACCTTTCATGCTTTTTTTTTTGTTTCGTTTTCTCTCAGATTGTTGTAAACTCGTAAGAAGCAGATCAGACCAAAGAGAAGGATAAAAATGGCAGGAGGGTCAATTGGTCCGACCGGTGTGGCTAAGGAAAGAGCAGAACAATACCAAGGGAAAGTCACTAGCTATGTCATCATCGCTTGCCTTGTTGCAGCCATTGGTGGAGCCATCTTTGGTTATGACATTGGAGTCTCAGGTTTGGAATCCAATATAAATCTGAAAGGTTATGTTAAAATGGGGTCAAGAAAAGATTTTGAGTTTTGTTTTACAGGTGGAGTCACATCAATGGATGAGTTCCTTGAGGAGTTTTTCAAAACGGTTTATGATAAGAAGAAGCAAGCTCATGAGAGTAATTACTGTAAATATGATGATCAAGGATTAGCTGCTTTCACTTCTTCACTATATTTGGCTGGTCTTGTTTCCACTCTGGCCGCTTCACCGATTACCAGAAACTATGGGAGGCGTGCGAGTATTGTCTGTGGTGGGATTAGCTTTCTTGTTGGAGCTGGTTTGAATGCTGGTGCTGTCAACTTACCAATGCTTCTTGCTGGGAGAATCTTGCTCGGTGTTGGCATTGGGTTTGGTAATCAGGTTAGTCAGACAAAACACATTGTTTTGGTTAAGCCTGAGAGTTTTTACCCCAAATCGAAGCCCCGATCTTAACCCGAATTGGAAACCGAATCGATAAGACTGAAACCTCATCCAAACCGTTATACAAAAATATCCAAATAATACTTAAGAACTTGGTATTTTTGTACCGAAACGAACTGAATATATCCGAAATTAGTTTAAAGTACTAATGTTTTTATATATACTAAAGTAATTTAGATATTTTGAATAATTGTGTAGCTTGTTTTATTTGTTATTTTTGAATATTTTTTAGTCAGTTTAGTTAATTTAACTAGTTTTTAATTTGATTTTTGAATACTTTTTGTTAATTTTTTAAGTTTTTTTAAAAAATACTTTTGGTTGATTTCGGACATTAGTTATAACCTGATCCGAACATAATCTGAAAGGAACCAAATAGAACCTAACCAGAAAAATAGTAAAATTCGAATGAGAAGATAAGAATATTACCAAAAAATTGGATCAACCAAACCGAACCAAACGGTCTAGTTTGGTTGTCTTCATCCTGATGAACCTTAAGCTGGTTCTGTCTTGTTTCAGGCGGTTCCTTTGTACTTATCAGAAGTGGCACCAACACATCTCAGAGGTGGTCTGAACATGATGTTCCAGTTAGCTACAACTCTTGGGATCTTCACTGCCAACATGGTCAACTACGGTACTCAACAGCTAAAGCCTTGGGGATGGAGACTCTCTCTAGGTTTAGCTGCATTCCCAGCTCTGCTCATGACGCTAGGCGGGTATCTCTTACCCGAGACACCAAACAGTTTGGTTGAAAGAGGGTTAAAGGATAAAGGAAGACGAGTTCTAGAGAAGCTAAGAGGAACCCAAAACGTAGACGCCGAGCTTCAAGACATGGTAGATGCAAGCGAGCTAGCCAACTCCATCAAACACCCATTCAGAAACATTCTACAGAAACAACATAGGCCTCAGCTAGTTATGGCGATTTGCATGCCAATGTTTCAGATCCTCACGGGGATAAACTCAATCCTCTTCTACGCACCTGTTCTGTTTCAGACAATGGGGTTTGGAGGAAACGCTTCTCTCTACTCATCAGCGCTAACGGGAGCTGTTCTTGTCCTCTCAACTTTGATCTCCATAGCGCTAGTGGATAAGCTGGGAAGACGAGCTCTCCTCATCAGCGGAGGGATACAAATGATAATCTGCCAAGCTATAGTCTCAGTGATCTTAGGCCTCAAATTTGGAGAGAACCAAGAGCTGTCAAAAGGGTATTCAGTAGTAGTAGTCATCTTCATCTGCCTCTTTGTTGTAGCGTTTGGATGGTCATGGGGACCTTTAGGATGGACTATACCGAGCGAGATCTTCCCGTTGGAGACTCGTTCCGCGGGGCAAAGTATCACGGTGGCTGTGAATCTTCTCTTCACTTTCATCATAGCTCAAGCTTTCTTGACTATGCTATGTGCGTTTAAATTCGGAATCTTTCTGTTCTTTGCTGGATGGGTTACAGTGATGACAATCTTTGTCTACTTCTTGTTGCCTGAAACCAAAGGAGTGCCGATTGAAGAGATGACACTCTTGTGGAAGAAACATTGGTTCTGGAAAAAAGTGTTGCCTGCAACAAACCTTGAGAGTAACAACAATAGCTCTCTATGAATTATAGAGATATATATAAAAACTAGTTTTGTAAGGTAATTAATTAGTTTTATGATTTTGTCAACAACAAATCAAGAAAGAAAGTTTTATGTTAACACTAAGATTTTTATTGCATATATGTAAAAGAAAGATGTGATCTCTCATGTCATCAAGAAAGATCCAAAAACACACAAAGCAAAAGCCGATCACATTCTCCATCTCTGCTTCTTCTTGATGTGAAACAAACCATTGTTTCCTCCTCTCTTGTCAAGATTCTTCAACATCTGCTTGAATAGACGGCTGCAAGCGATTTTTCTAGGGTTTCCTGAATCTTCCTAAGCAAGGAACTTAGTTCTTGTTATCCAAGAAACATGGAATAGGAAGAGAGTTTGGAGGAGGAGAAGCTGAGCTGGAAGCACCGGCGTAATCTACGGAGGAGACGATCTCTAGTCCTTTAAAAGCTCTGATCTGCTTATGCAAAGTCTCTGGTTCAGGTCGGATTCTATTAGTCGACTCTACGATAAAATCGACGTCAGTTATTCTCAAACGATGTCGTTTCTTATCATCGGGGCAGCTGTTATTCTCCTTGTTAAGAAGCGAGGTCAGTGTCTCGCCGCGTTTGAGGATCTTGACTTGTCCCATAACAAGATTGGTGTTGTTCGACGCCGGGGATGCGACCAGCGTCTTAGGTTGAGACGCCGTGGAGGAACGCTTGGGTCGGCGAGGAGCAGGGTTCGAGGGACGGTGGAGACGAGAAGTAGGGTTACGGTGGATTAGGGATTCGTTATCGAATCGATGGTTTAAAGAGTTTCGTGAAGAGAGAATCGCAGTGGCCATCGCTTTTAAGTTCTTTTGATTCTGATTTGAAAGATAGTATTTGAAAAGTGAAGGGAACCTCCTTATATATAGAGAGAATCCGTGACACTATCGACCGACTAAAAATATTTTAGTAACTTTCCATTTTACTTAGGGGACTTTAATGTATTTCTAGTTTAGTATTTTATTTTGTCGACCATAAATTTCTAATGTAGTTTAAGTTAGGGATTTTAATGTAATTTTTACTTCTAATTTAGTTTAATTCAGGGACTTTAATGTATTAACCTTTGTCCAAAAATAACGTATTAGCTCGGAGCAGAAGTACCGAAAGATTCAAGAATCATGAGACGCACACACAACACGTACTTGGTTTTTAGTTACGGCTTATAATTTTCAAGAAGAAGCTGTGTTGTGGTTGTTGTGATCCTTTGATTTAGCGAGCTTAGCTTGTATGAGTTTGTCCAGGATTGGTGGCTCCAGTGGAGTCACATCAAGACATCTCTCAGAAGCAGCAACGATCACCTGTTAGTACAAAACACACACAACAAGTTCAAAGCATATATGGTCAGTTGCATCCTCTTAACCATAAACCCTAAAATACTCAAATGTTCTGTTGAATATGCGAAGTAAAGCCAAGGAAGAAGCTTTTGATGTAAATCACCTCATCGAGCAAGAAGTCAATTGCAGCTTCGTCCTCGACTGTTTCTTTCAAAGGAGCTTTCAAAAACTGAATGTCTAGCTGAATCTGTTGGAACCCGCTCCTGTTAAACGTTTGGAGCCGTACATATTCTTGCAAACTCTTCAGACACAGCTTCACTGTTGTCGTCACAACTGATTCCTGTTAAGTAAACGATAATCAGGAGATGACCCTCGTGCGTGTTTGATGCTATGACTACTACAAGGAAGCCTCTTATATTTTGTTTTTCTTACCTGGGTAAATTCAACCTTGGTGAATATTTCTACTTTTTGCTTGAACAGCTTTGCAAGATGCGTCTCGAAAAGCTGACTTCGAGCTCTCTGTGAATTCGACCGTGCCATCTTATCGCTATGTAGTGTAGTGCTTCGTGATGAGGTTGTGGTGTTACTTCCGTTGCTGTCTGATCTCTTGTGCTTCCGGAAAGTCCCTTGTGGTAAAATTTGTTTCACTTCTTTACCAACTTCTTCTAACTGCAAAGAAGCAGAAAGTTCCTTGAGTTATATATAGGCATGTTCTTTAGTTATTGATATTTATTAGAGGTTGAAAAGAGAAGAGTTGTCAAAACCTGTTGAAGAAGCATATCGACGTACATGTGAACCTCTCGTGGCTCTTTGTGCTGCAGAATATTTAGAAAAAATAATTTACTGGTAAAATGCATCTTTAAGAAGATTTAATCAAACACGACAACAAGGTTACCTTAACCCAGTTTGGTGTCTTGAACCTCTTTCTTAGTACATTGGATATCTTCTGTGTTCTCGTGTCTATGTACTGAAACATGTAACGATTTAGTTAGCTGACGCTTATGTTTTTGTAAAACGACTTTAGTTTAATTCATACATGCTGGAGAAGTTTCTCGCTAGCTGCGTGGAAGACCCGGCAAAGCTCTCCAGGAATAAAAGCTTGAGAGTTTCCGCCAGAGAAGGAAGCAGTTATTTCCTGAATTTTCAACATGTGGAGTTTCTCAATCCCTCTACGACATTAACATCAAGCAGTAGGTGTAAGACTCGTTACCTCCGCAATTCTCGGGATGACCTTTTGTTCGATGACGACAGAGAGCTGAGCCAGTACAAGGATGAGACCAGCATGGATTTTCTCACTTGATTTTCCTTCTGTCACACCTTCAGTCTCGTTTGATGAGCTAGTTTTTCCTGAGAGAACCAGGAAGTGAGATTCCAATGACCTGAAAAAGTCTTGAAATCCTTTCTGAATCCAACCAATGAGTAAGTCATTCATCTTGACAAATATTCCAGTGTTTTCATCAAGAAGCTGACGGAAGTCCTGAGATTATATGGAAAAAATTATAAGCTTTTTTTGAAAGATGGCAAGCAAATAAAACGTTATGATAAATAACAGAAGAAGGAATCTGCCTGAAATATATCTGCGGTGCCTTGAAGAACGGCCTTTCCACTAGCTTCAAGGACAACCTTCAGAACTTCCCCATCAACAACTTCCTTTTGGTTGATATCGAATTTTAAGATTGTATCTGCCACATATGGAGACCTTATGTCAGTTCTGAGTTCTTCAAAGCCAAACAAAACTTCACGAAGTAATTAATCTACTTTTGGACACTTGCTGCTCCCTTTGTCAAATTACTCACAAGACGTATTATGGATTATTCTAGCTTAACTCATTTTCCTTAACAAGATATTCTGAATCCAGTAGATATTAAGAAACAGCGAACCTGATATATCTTGTTGGAGATGAGAAAACGTCCTGGCAACAAATTGCTTCAGAGTGACCTGGGCAGCCTGAAATGACAAGTACTAGTATAAACATATATAGCTCGGCTCATCATAGCAAAAAGAGGAGCCACATAACACAGTTCAGGGTAACACCTCAGCAGATAAGTCAGAGAGCGCAGCCTCAGGTAGAACCTCGTCCATAAGTACAACATCTTCCCAAATAATTCCTATGTCCAACAGAAAACAGACTTAGTCAAATCTTTCAGAGAGAGAGGAAAGCAACGTACAGAAATACAGTAGTAAGACAACAGCAGGAGGAAAAGCACTGTACTCACGAAAAATTCCAAGAAAATCTGCTGCAGACACCCGTTTTCTTATATATAGTTCCATGTTCTCAAAGTGCCTAACAACCTCAAGTGTTAGAAATTCCGTAAGCCAGACACAAACAAAGTCTCGGTTTATAGATTAACTGTATTTTAAGAAAGTACAATACGTTGTTGTTAAGGCTCTCGCGAGTTTAAAAAGTCTTTCTTCCGAGTCAGGGAATATTTCTCGATAAGCACGCATAGCCTCAGAAAATCCACGTACAGCGTCCTGCCATAAAAGAGGGGCAAACATTAAAATATTGAGAGCGAAAATAAACTTGTCAAGTCTGCTAAAACCAAAGAACTAAAAAAAATAACAATGTGAAGACTAATAAGCAAATATCCAGAGTAAAGCAATTGCTGACATTCAAAGTTCTTAGCAGATCCACTCAGCATTGCTGTGTTCAATTAGAGTTGTCAGAAACGCAAGAGACAAGGAATTGGTATATTTAGTGTTTACCTCATGAATTTTAGCAGGACCTTCGTTATTGCTTTCCTCATCCTTAGATGAATCATTGTGCTCTGCAAGTTTACTTGCCTCCTCGGGATTTATTTGAAGACCATCAAGAGATTGTTCCAGCTTTTCCAAAAGTTTGTCCTTTAAGCTATCAATCTGCAGGAGTACAATCCAATTTATGTCACAGCAACAAGTAATAGTCTATGCAACAAGGCCAACAGTTCAGTTGCATATAAAGTACAGATGCTTTAACACATTATACATGTCACAAATAATTGACCAGAGGAAAATAACTAACTGGGACATCTAACTGCTTAAGAAGCACTGCAGCTTCAGCTCTCGCCTGTATGGATTCTGAATCTGAAAATAGCTTCGTCTGTTGAAAAGAAAGAAAAAAATAAGTTTCTAACATCAAGAATTCAAACATATGACCAGTTATTTGTTTATCAGGTTAATAAAGAGTAATATAGATAACTAAAAGGTACACCTGCAAGTTCTTTATGATGATTTCTATAGCTTCTTCAGAAGCTCGTCTGCAGTCTTTGAATGATGAATCACCGTATACCTAACCAGAATGAGAATTTCTTATTGTTAAAACTATCTCCATATATTAAGAAAGTAAAATGCACACCAAACACTAAAAGAATACTACAACAATTAGCAAGTTATCCGACAACAGATCCACAAACCTTGAGAATTGGCATTGCTCCAGTATAGAACCTGACAGCATCCCCATAGGCTTCTGACTTTATACATTTTTGGAGCCGTGCAGGTAAATCATAAATGAACTGCTCATTTTTACAAACAAAAATAAGGTTTTGAGTGCATTCCCAAGAGCAATCAGCATACCACTGATAATGAAACATAGCATGTAAACCAAGAAGCTAGCAACAACGAATCATTACAAACCTGAACTTTACGAAGAAGATTACGTGTCCGGTGAAGTTTCTCTATATGTTCTCTCTTTTCAAAAAGAGAAGTATTCACCCCATCACTCCTTGATTGCACTGACATTATCTGCAACAGTCATGCTATAGATTAGAAGTTCATACAAAGAATAAATCAAAAACTAAAACTAAACATTAAGTCGATGTATCCAAAACACCTTGTGAAGAAGTTGGTCCATGTTGCCTTCCATCCCAAAAATATTACTCTTCATCCTACAATATACACAAATCAACACATTCAAACTTTGTATAAACAAATTTCTAATAGATATAACAAAATCATTACAATGCTTAAGAGAACCACTACAATACTCAACAACTAAAAAACAATCCACAAATTTGTTTACAAGGTACCTCTTGATTGTATCCGTAGCACTGATAAACTTATTGTAATTCTCATAAACAAGCATTTGCAAATCCGTATCCAGATTCTTAATCTCAGCAGCCATTTGAACATGTCTTTGCAAAAGCACATCCAGATTCGACTTCTTAATCTACACCACAAGAATCGTTCTCAAAATCTAAATCGAAATCGAAATCGAAATCGAGAACGGGAGAGACTATACCATGAGATCCATGTACTGATCAGCGTCGAAGGAAGGTCCGTTGATGTTGTCGAAAGAGGTGCTGATGGAGGAAGTAGTGGTGGAGATGGAAGGATCGGGAGTGTAGAAGCTCGAGAGTAGATCTCTCATTCTCTTCGCCTTCTCGTCCATCGGAGCAGCTTCCGTCGTCGCCATTTTTTTCTGTTACGCAGATTCGAAATGCAGGAAGGGAGGTGGATCGGATCAATTCAGTTCAGTTCATGATAAATTCGGTGATCTATTTGATTATACTTTTTACATGGTGAGGTCAAGATGAGGAACTAAACCG